CTGCGCTTGCTCACGCCACAGCTCGGCGTCGCCTTCGGCTCCGCCTTCGATTTCCGTAGAAACGGTTATTCGCTTTGGTATCATCGCAATAATGGAACGTTTGAACTATACCATAAAAAAATCTTTTTGGAAGAAAGAAAAATCGAACCCTTTGGTACTTGCTGCTCCGTTTGCTACGCTGCGTTTGTTTAAGCCGCAGATCGGCGTTGCCTTTGGCTACGCTTTAAGTTTCAACAGCAAGGGTGACGGCAATCCGTTAACAATAGTTACGGTAGCCCTTACTGTGACAGAAACTGAGACGGTTACGGTAACATGTTTTAGGTATGGTAGCGTAACATTTATTATTAGTACACTTAATTAGTGTGGTGAAAGCTGGTAACGCGTTACCATGACTCATTGCAAAATGAATGCAGCTCAATTGGTCCTGTAAAGTGAGTGCTAATGTTGGTAAAATTGCTAACGATAGTAACGGTAATAACGGTTCCTGACTTCAATTAGCATGGTTTGCTACGTCATCGTTTCAACATGGTCTGTATACAGTCCCTGCAGCAGACCGAAATTTATCGAAAGCAAGCGTATCTGAGTTTCTGCTCGGTGGTCGGGGAGCGCTCTGATTTTATTCGATGCTTTAACATAAAGAGAGTATATCGGAAGAAGTTAGTACACACGCTCTGTATGCTGCAGCTCCTATCCGTCCCCGTCCCCCCATCAAAAACTCGGTTACGCTTGCTTTTACAGCAGTGCAGTGACGTATATATACAGACCATGGTTTCAAGGTGATGGCCTTATGATAACGTATGGCTTGAATGACCGAGCTCAACTGGTTTACAAAGTTATATACTGGTTGAAGACCTTCGAGTATTTCCAACATTTGCTCAAACATAGCATTATAATGAATGTTGTGAATCATGTTACAAAATTTCGCCTCGCTGGAATGCGTTTCCCAGCCCTACCCCTACAATTACACACACAGCATGGAGGCTTTGCTAGGGCGCAAGCAGCAAAATTCCCCTAAGTGAAAAACGCACCAACCGGTCGAGCAAATTTCCCGGACCAGGTTCTAAAAAACGGGCCCTCCATACTGTTTGTATGGCGGGTTCGTGAGAAATGCCCCGGTGGTTCCCGCATGTCGGTTCCCCAAAAACGCACCAACCGGGGCCGGCAAAATTCCCGGACCGGGTCCAAAAAAACGGGCCCTCCATACTATATGTACGGCGGGTTCGTGAAAAATGCCCCGGTGGTTCCCGCATGTCGGTTCCCCAAAAACGCACCAACCGGGGCCGGCAAAATTCCCGGACCGGGTCCACAAAAACGGGCCCTCCATACTATATGTACGGCGGGTTCGTGAAAAATGCCCCGGTGGTTCCCCGCATGTCGGTTCCTCAAAAACGCCCCAACCGGGGCCGGCGAAATTCCCGGACCGGGTCCAAAAAAACGGGCCCTCCATACTATATGTACGGCGGGTTCGTGAAAAATGCCCCGGTGGTTCCACGCATGTCGGTTACCCAAAAACGCACCAACCGGGGCGGGCAAAATTCCCGGACCGGGATCTAAAAAACGGGTCCTCCATACTGTTTGTATGGCGGGTTCGTGAAAATGCCCCGGTGGTTTCCCGCATGTCGGTTCCTCAAAAACGATCCACCCGGCCAGTCTGTATGAGTGTAACGGGTTCAAATTTACGATCTCTTATGCATTTACTGCAGCAGGTCCGTAAAAAATAACCCGGTTAGTTTTTCGATTTTTTGACTACCTTCTCAATTGTTTCAGCGGGGCGCAGCTACCTGCTGTGGGGCTCCGCCCCAAACCCCGGCCAGGGGCTTGGACCCCGGGGACCCAGCTCTCCGCATGTCGCACCGCAGATTAAAAACGCTCGCTCGCTTCGCTCGCTCGCTTGATTACAAACTTTAATGACTAATGCCGACAACGTGGCACGTATGCTCCGTAGTACTTAGTGTGCGCGATAATACATAATAATATGTCCAAAGCTCACCTGTCGAGTACACCACATCGAGTACAGCAGAGGAATTTATACCACATGCAGAGCTGCGTTAATTACCGGCACCCGCTTCGTGCTGGAAATTTGTGGTTTGTGTCTACTGAAACCGAGCGCCGAAAGTCCCTGTTATCCCTTTTCGGGAGCCCATGATAGACGTGCGCCGGACGGATGAGGAAATCGTTTTGCGCGCGTTTTGATAACATCAGTGTTGTAGTAAACGCGACATTAGCAAAATCTGATAACTAGCGAAAGAACTAACCGTGCATAAAATCGTACGCCGTAACATAAGCTGCAAAAAACATTTTACAAAAGAATTTCTCATTTTATGATCCGAGATTCCAGAAGTGCGCTTCTCCTGCTATCATTTTCGCTACTCGTAGTCACTGTTCGTCCGCCATCTCTTTGCATTCACATTTCGTTGATACCAGCAGGTGGATCAGCGGTCAGGTGAACCTGCAGTTTCACGGAGTAATCATTCGGATTAATGTATCCTTTCGTCGGATCCAGCAATTCCTAGAAAATAACCTTGTATGAACGATGTGAAGCAAAGCATCCCCAACTTCCACCCGCCGTAGCACCATAGCAGCTTCCTGACTGTTATGGGATCGCTGTACACAGAAACCTCTGCCAGCTCCCTCACATCCGGGATCGTAAAATTGATGACACCCCCAGAACGTACATCTAGAAATTTAACGACAATTTGTGCCATATGCCCGCAATTTTTTGTAAACTCATAAACACGCTAACTTTGCCGCGGCTCGGCACTAAACGTTAGCTGCGGTTTGTTGGCGGCGTGCTTGTAGCGGAAGATGTCCCATCCTTCCGTTTGCAGCAACAAGCCGCTCTGAAAAAAGAAAGATTTCACCGCACACGTTAACTATGTCCGACAACTAAAGAGTGACTTTCCCTTCCACTTTCCTTGACTGTAACCGTGTAACTGTTACAGGCGCGTTAAAAATCAGATAATAAAGCTTTGAGAAGACCGTACCTCGGCGGGCCCGTTAAGCAACTGAGAGTGCGTCAGCAGCGGAAACCGGATGAGGAACAACGCCTGACCCAATACTTTACGTCGATTTGCTGATGAAGAGTCCATACTCCTCCGCGAACACATGTTTGCAGCCCACCTGTCAAAAAACGCCCGGTTAACCACGCAAAAATACCGGAATAACCTTTCTGCAGAAGAGGACTAATAAAATTGTTCTACTTGTCAACAGAAGAACAAATGGTGTCTTCATTGGCGGTCAGTGTGTCCCGTTGGAGAATCATGCGCAGTGCATCCTGTCCAATCGTAGAGAACTCATCCGACTGGAACACCGTTTCCGCGGCTTCGTCAATCAGGCACAAACACTTCTCCAGAATGCTCGGCGAATAGTTGCATAGGGTACAGCCTAGAGAACACCAACCAGTTACAAAGTATGTATTTCATATAAACGGTTGTATGGAAGCCCCTAGTAGCAAAATCATATTATCAAAATTTCGAAAACCCACACTATCCAGTGTCTCCAGGCAGTTGCCGATGCTGATCCCACTCAGGATGAAATCGATGTATTTAACCGTTAACAACCGGAAACCATACTTATCCGCAGAGCCCAGGGTATGGAAGACGTTGTCGTGGGTAAAGTTCTTCACAACATCGGTGTAGATGTAGCTGCATAAATTGCCCGTTTGCAAAACGGGGGTTCACCGGAATGTACGACAGGAAATTGTTGTAACGATTATTGCACCTGAGCATATGAGCGAAGGCCTCGGGAAGGATGTCCGGAATGTCGATGGGGGCTGTGCAGGTCTCGGGGACGCTCCCGTAGAACATAGTGTGGAACACAGCGCTGCGTGCGCTTAGGAGGAGTCTGCAGGGCGCATTACACGGTAAACAAAAAAATCGGTCCAGTGGATTTACAGATTAGTCATTTCGATGCAGTTGAGATTATGGATAATATTATAGCGAGGACTGACCTGTGAGCATGGAAGATCTTCACGTCACCATAATCCCGTCCCACCGCGAACTGGACATCGCTCATCTCGCCACAGGCTAAATGATGCAGGATCCCCTCACTGATCGTGACGATCCCGGCGCAGTCCACTGCGTCCGAATGTGGTGCCGTTGTCCGAGACATACCTGCAGAGACTACTAGGACCCAGTTAAAAATTAAACTTTTACCGCCAAGACCCACTCAACGCAGCAGTAGAAAATCTTCCGCAATGCAGCTCGAGCTACTTTCTCCGTATCAGCCAAAATTAATTGGTTGGCAGTGTTTGCTAAAAAACCGCGGAAGGGTTCTTCGTATAATTAAAAAGACTGCCCCAAAAAAGTGTATCTAGCTGCCGTCTGACAACTTAGTAAGCTTACGGGCTGCTTACCGTGAGGACCTTGCGATGTAGTAACATCGTCAGGTCCTCGCCCGGTTCGCCCGGTGGAGTGAGTGGTGTCGACAACGTTTAAACAGCGAGTAGCTATCGCCAAAGGGCGGTTAGCACGTCAGCGTCGCTCCTATATCCGAACACCGGAAAGCGCAGTGATGCAGTAAGTTCGTCACACGGAACGACCTGCCGTTCCGTGTGACGCGACAGCTCCTCGTCGGACGGCCGATGCCGGCAACGAGGCCCCTGTGTATGCAGCACCTATTCTGTGGTATCTGAACATACCAGAAAATTAGCAGGCTTTATTAAACTGATCCCAGTGTTGTAAGCCCAGTTCAGCCCACTGTTGAAGATGTTCTGTCTGCAATTTTCAGTGCGATAACAAGCTGGCTTAGAAGCGTGCGGGAAGTTTATTATTACGTATTTGAATTTCGACAAAGGATTTTTATATTCGTGACAGTGCTGGTGAATCTTCTGCACAACAATCTACCAAAAAAACTGGTACAAGAACCACCTTGAAACGAACTAATCCCGCAGTTACAGATTCTCTTGTCGATCTTTCGAGCAAGAAAGGGTGGTAAGCTTTCTAGCTATTACCATTTCCGCAAATCATTCATTGGTACATACATAACATAAAGTGATAATTCTACTCGATTCCACGCGTGGTTACTGCCATTTGAATTTGCAGTTTCAGTGAAAAGTCATTAGAATTGACGTAGCCGTTTGCCGGCGCCAGTAATTCCTAGAAAGACAAACGTAGCGTGAACAAAGCATAATCAAGGGGTTCTCCACCCCAAACCCTCACCTTCATAGAGATATATTTCGAGTATCCCCAAGCGCTGCTATTCTTGTCAAACAGATGGGAAATATCTACGACGTTTGAGAAACCTTTGCGAGGAACACCGAAAGAGCTGTTTGCGGAGAGCATCATACGAGTACGTACGCTTCTTGATTATTGTATTTCCCGTTTTCCACGACAGCAGGCGCAGCTCCGCACTAGCCTGGCACGTCCAGGGAGCTGGTTTCGGACATCCCGAACATCGGAGGAAGAAGCCCAGAGTTGCAGAACTGTCACGCCTTACCTTCTCCAACTGGATAGTCCTGCAACAATACCAAGAGCGTGATCAGTGTCGACCTTTGTTGAAATTGACAGTAAAACCACTCACCAAAGCAGCTTTCCAACTGCTACAGGATCGCTTAGTCTATGCGCGCCCTCCGACAGTTCTTTGACATTCAGAAACGTATGGTTGAGGACACCCTCATCGCGTACCACTAAAAATACGAGGAACGTTAGGAGCATGGCATCAGATTCAATAAACGCAAGAACGCGCTAACTTTGCCGAGGTTCCGTAGGAAAAGGAAGCTGCGGCTCGATGGTGGCATACTTGTACTGGTAGATGCCTCGTCCTTCCGATTGCAGCAACAAACCGCTCTACATAATGTACAATATCGCGTTAAACATGCTTGTTTGTAATTTGCGGGCTGGCTGTTCCGGCCAAAGCATGGTTCATCCGCCAACCAAGGGGCCGACGTCATCTAACTTGTAAGCTCTGATCAGACCGCCCCTTGTCAGAGATCAAAGATTGATAAGTACATTGTAAATCGTTGTGCAAATGTACCTTTACGGGCCCATTCAGCAGCTGCGACATGGTCATGAGGGGAAATCGGATAAGGAACAACGTCTGACCCAGTACCTCACGCCGATTGGCCGCCGAAGTGTCCACGTTTTTTAGCGTACACATGTTGACAGCCCACCTGACAAAACGCCAGATGACGTCAACAAAAGTAATAATAACAGGCTCGCTTTTGTGCGTCTTGAAAATCATCTCCCAAAATCGCTATACCTGTCAACAGACGAACAAATGATATCTTCACTGGCGGTCAACGTATCACGTTGGAGAATCAAGGCTAGCGCGTCCAGTGCAATCGCATCGAACTGTTCCGATTCCCATACACTTTCCCTTGATTCATCAATCAGGCACAAACACTTCTCGAGAATGTTCGGAGCAGCACTTGCGTACTGCATAGCCTGCCGAAGCAGAACAGCTTGTCAATTTGGTATTGGGGCAGCCAAAAACAGCCGTTCACACGAATACGTACAGCAGAGATCACATCCAGGCAGTTGTTGATGTCAAGATCTTTCGTGACAAAGTCGGCGCAGATGGCTCCCAATCTGGGTAACTTATACTTGCCCGCGCAGCACATTGTGTGGAAGACGTTGTCCAGAGTGAATGTCTTCACGGCATCCGTGTACATGTAGCTGCACAGTTGTGTTACACTCAGTACTAGCGATGTGCGTGACAAGCCGACAAATAACGATAATAAATAACTTAAAAGTCTGGTACGACAGGCGCACCTGGCCATGTTAGCGAAGCCCTCGGGATGAATGTCCGGAAGGTCGTGTACCAGAAAACGGCTCTGCCCCCATCTGCATTCCTGACATTCTTCCCGAGGCATTCGCCAACATGCTTAGGTGTCCTTTGTACAATATTTTCTATCGTCTGCAGCGAATAATGGCATGTAACTGTAAGCGTAAAACTGTACAGCTACATCTATTCCGATTCCGTAAAGAAATTTACCCAAGATAACGTTTTTGCCACATTGGGCTGCGCGGACAAGTACGACTTACCATTGTTTGTCGCTATGTGCATTGACTTCATCCTGAATCTGCTCAACACCAGCAACTGCCTGGAGATGCTGGAGAGTGTAAGTTTTCACGTGTGGTTTTCCTTCTTTTGCTGTGGCAGATATTAAGTTGTGCGGCGTAGGCGTTTCTCCATTCCGTTGCTGCTCCGAGCATCCTGGAGAAGTGTTTATGTCTGATTGATGATTCACCGAAAATGGTATGGGAATCTGAGCAGTTTTATGCCATTGGAGAAGAGACGCTGCGTATCATTCTGGAACGGGATACGCTGACCGCCAACGAAGACATAATTTACTCGGCTGTTGACAAGTACAGTAAACTGTAAAGTGATTTTGACCGCTCTCCTTTACGCAGGAATGAACGCGTTAAATCTGTGGATCATACAAATCTTTTTTGCAGGTGGGCTGCAAACATGTGTACACAAAAAAATATGGACGCCAACTCCGCCAACCGACGTGAAGTGATAGGTCAGACGTTTTTTCTTATCCGATTTCCGCTGTTATCCGACACTCAGCTTCTGGATGGACCCGGCAAGGTATGAAATTCGCTCAAATTTTAATCTGTTTTTGGGTAAGCCTTAGGCCGAAACCATGGACAAGGAGCAGCTAAACCAGGCGCCGGTTTCTGTCTGCCGTTTTTAAATGAAAGATAGGTCCTGTGTTAACGAAAGTATAAAGGCACAAAGGTGAAATGTTGTTTTGTGTTAAGACTGGTATGTTGCTAGAGTCTGAACTATGGGATATCTGCCACTACAAACACGCCGCCATCAAACCGCAGTTATCGTTCCCAACCAAGCCTCGACAAAGTTCGCCAGTTGATGCGTTTGCTGAAACCTATAGTCCTTATGTTTTAAAAAGAAAGTATTGCTGTATTTCTAGATGTGCGCACTGAGGGTGTCATCAACTATACGATTCCGGATTTGAGGGAACTGCCGGCGAAGGGTATGCACAGCGATCCTATTACAGTGAGGAAGCTTGCTGTGGTAAGGAATGGGTGTAGCGCAAGAAAAAGCCGGCAAAATCGTTGAAAGCCAGACGTCAGACACCACACCTTTTCGTTGTTTGGCAGGAATATGAAGGTGATAAAGGACACTGCTTCTCGCTGTCCTTCGCTGGGCTTCTACCTGCAGTGCTATGATCGACCGAAATCCGATTACTGGAAATGCCAGGTCGATGTCGAGTTGCGTCTGCTGCCATCGAGGTTGGAAACTGCGCCTATTAAGAAAAGTATGTCCGTTTTGGCTGCTAATGCAACCGGAGGCGTCGCTTGACTAAACTACCTTCGCGTAAATATTCCACGATGTTGTAGAGAAATCAATGTTGTTCCACAAGAGTAGTTGGATCGTGGGAGCTGCGGAATTGATCTCCACGGAGGTGAGTGCTTCGTACCGGGAAATGCTGGGTTACCAACTTACCATGGGACATTGGTCACGTAAGTTTTATTCACAGAAATTAGTGGATCTGTTGGGCTACACTAATCCTAGTGACTTCTCGTTGAAACTGCAAGCTCAGATCACAGTGGCTGCTGACCTTCCTGATGAATATTAATGAATAATGAAAAGGCATGTCCCACTGAACGGTTGCCGGAAATGGATCAACGGAAATAATATTACATAACAATGTTCTGTTTCAAGGTGTATTGTTGCTAGTAGGCCTAGACCGGAAATAGCGTGGTTCCAGCAACTGAAGACGTCAAACTGATTAGTCGTACAAGCAGCCTTCTGAAAGCGTCGTTGCGTTTATGGACGTTTTTTTCCTTTGATATTCATGCACGTTGCGCAGCGAATATATAACAATTCTATATACTACTACATTTTAATTGCATGAAATTGTGTCCTTTGCCAATTCACAGCGCATGAGAACAGCAACCTTCTGCTTTTTTTAGAAAAACTGTTACTGAGTGCGTATGTGTGATAAATCCTAATAGTTTACCACCTACAGTAATTCAATTGCGATTGCCGTAATTTTGTTAGATTAAATTGTTTTCGTCAAAAATCGTGTATATTACCAGCAGCCAAAGATTATTTGGGGGTACCAGAATAGCTAAATTTGTGTCGGCTTTTTATCAGTGGTCAGGCGAAGTCGGAATCATGCATCTGCACGCACAAAGGAGTAACTATACATTAGTAACTATAACGTGGGGCCGTATGGGCGCCACGCGTATCCTCGACAGCGAACAGCGTGAACCCGGATGAGGCTTTATTGCCGAATCTAATGCGCACCGTGGCGCAGCAACACCAGACTAATGAGGAAGGATCCTGCAGCCAGTGCAACTGTGCTGAAGGTCCGTCAAAACAGCGCAGCAATGTGCGGGGTGGAAATCCCCAGAAACAGCGAATAGCTACTCAGGAGGGCGGGGCGTCCCGCCCTTACATAACTATACAAAGAGTAACTTCTAATGTGAGGATGTGCACCGTACATTGCAAGAATCGCAAACTTTCATTATTAGTAATTTATTACACGCGCCTGTAGCCGGCAGGAAGGTTGACGGGTTGATGGTTGACGGACAATGAAGGTCATCAACCTTTCTACAAAGGTCATCAACCTTTCTCGAAAGGTCATCAACCTATCCATCAACCTTTCTCGAAAGGTCATCAACCTTTCCATCAACCTTTCTCTAAAGGTCATCAACCTTTCCACCGGCGGTATCCATTAATTTGCTTCGCAGCCATTGTGTGCATAAACCTTAAGTTTGCGGAATCGAGTGGTTCGTTTTTTATCACACTTCGTCTACGTGTTCAATTGCGTAAGTAGGCCTAATATTGACATGCAGCTCACAGAACGTAGTCACAGAATCCGCCAACGGTCTTGCAAAAGTGGAGTATGGAAGAAGTTCTTGTCATTTTTGCATTGATTTCTCTGTGCGGTGCAAAAATTTCACAAAGTCCGTCATTTTACGATTAATCGGTTGCAAGTTTCCTCATCCTTAACTCAAAATTTTAATTAAGAAACGAGCAAAGATAATTCGCCTTATTTACCGGCAGAACTGCAAAAAGCGAGCGTAGCATCCACCTTTCTGCCGACGGGTGGCGGCATCCATTCATCAAGCTTTTGCGCCATTGCAAAGATTTTCTGTCACAGTTGTTACCATTGCTATTGCCTGATCAGTTAATTCGCTTAACTATGATCAAAATTGCAGACGCAAGGTACGAACATAGTCGACATAATATGTATTACCGAGTGGCGAAATAGTTGTGTGGCACAATGTACTACATACAATACAATGAGCACAATAACATCAATGGACGCCGCCGGCAGAAAGGTGGACGGTTTTACGGAAAGGTTGATGACCTTTACGGAAAGGTTGATGACCTTTATGAAAAGGTTGATGACCTTCACAGAAAGGTGGATGACCGGCCAGTATTACAGCCCAGCTCCTAATATGTTTTTTCCGTTACTTTGGTTTGATGTTGTGACGTGTGGGAGTAGGATCACACGCCGGAGTGTACGTACGGATGCTGACTGTCCGCCTTCCACCTGCAACATAACAGATAATCTAGTCAATCTCTACTGTGATTTGCTGTTCTCTTTTACTAGCGATGTAAATGATGTCATAACGCAGAGTCTATATAAGTTCTTGTTGTCACTGATATCGGCAGCAGTCGCTAATCAGTAGTCTGAGATTTACTTCTGAGACTGCTCTCTAATTACGATTTCCTAGCGTTGTGAACTGTGATGAGAATTGGATAAAGAGACAGCAATACTTGTTCCTTCTGACGTACATGATCGCTCCCGGATTATTGCATAGAATACAATTTTGCTCGTGACACAATTGTCCTGGCTCTTGCCGATCCACACAGGACTCGCGACCGGAAGTTGCAGTTGGAGTGTTCCTGAGGGATTTCTGATTTGTGTTCCTGATTCGTCGTTCGTGTTTCCACCGTAATTATTCTGTTACAGTTTGAGAGTACGAGTGCCTACCGACTGAGCATTACAGGCGTGGAAGAGTAAAGATTGTTCATGGAACCTTAACCGGTGTGAACGATTATACACGACATGGCGCCCACCGGTGTCTTTTAATTTTCCCGATGTAACAGAAAATTATTGGTGGAAAGTTTGATGGTAATTTATTTGTAAAGTGGTCCGCATAGAAAGGCGTCGAACCGCAAAGGTACGCCGAAGGAGGTCAGCGTTCCCGATCTGGCCTAATTTAATTGATTTTTGGCGAGCTTCCTCGCAAATTGTGAGCTTCCTCACGGCTAAGCTTCCTCGCCAATTAAATTAAATTTATTTAATTCGGACCGTAGGAAAACAGTCGAAACCTTAAAGGTCGGCTGTGTGCAGAAAGTGGTATTTTGTGGGTAATTTCCGGGTTGTCTGCGCAAAGCAGTAACTGCGTGAATAAACTGTAAAGTGCAGTGTCAGTGTACCTGGCCTGCAGATAGATCAGATAGTGAGTACCAAGCCATTGTCAGTGGCTAGGTGAGATAACGATCTCCAGCAGCTAGATAAAGGCAAGCCGCAAGCGGTAGCCAGAATCAGCAGCTAGAGATTGTGACAGCAAAATTTGTCAACACCGGCAAACGGTGATTGACCCGTGAGTTAAGATTACGGCAGTACGCACAGTACAGCTGAATAATTTTAACTGTTATTTTTGTAGTCGAAACCGCAAAGGTCGGCTGCATTAATTTTTCACGAAGCAATTCAAACCTTAAAGGAGGATTGTTAGTGAGTAATCTTGCACAATTGCAAGTACGAAATTTCAGAGAAAGCAGTAGCATAATCGCTGCTGTAAACTGTATTTTGAATAGCCGCAAAGGTTAATTCAAAGTAAAGTAAAATGTCTGGTAGTTCAGTCCCCAGGACTCGGCCTC